TAACTATGACAAAAGAAATAAAAAAAAATCAATATCTAACGACAAAGTTCTTACAATGATAAATATAATTCAGCGATTAGAGTCGTTGCTATTGTTTCATTTAATATGATGACCAACAAGATGTGTGTTAGCTACATCTATAATTATGATGAATTCAGAGGCAAATGACCTGGTTTGAAGCTCAAGATGACTCCTTATAGATGTAGCTAACACACATCTTGTTGGTGAACAATGTAAATATTTGTGTTTCTACTTCTTGCATTATCGATTTTTCTGTTCCGTTCTAACAAATATTACAATAATAAAAACTTATACGTAGTACAGTCATACATGCATACTGGGTCCCTACACATACAATAAATGTCACACTTTTGTCTAAAACCATTGGCGCAGATCATGGTGGTTGACAATGTGTGGACATAATTATGTAGAGAGCATATAATATCTTTGTTTGGAAGCCAAATTTGGCTACGGTCCACAACATCTTTTGGATACCTTTTTCTGAGGAAAATGCACAATAATATTAATAAACGTCACCCACATTGGCCTTTGTGTGATGAGTTGTTAGGTTCTTTTTGAAGTTTGTTACATATATGTGTACCATTAATGGCAGCTTCCACATGTGGATCGAGGGAGAGACCGCGCGCGACTCGACATCCCTCTAGCTCGGCATTTAACAAGTTGGGTACTAAAGCACGCTGGTGGTTAATAAATGCACAATTTTTTTGGCTTCACGCAGAAATTAGCCACAAACTGCAACTGCGATGGTTGATTAAACGTTGAATTCATCTCTTTATGGTAGAATTTTTGTCTTCACTTGGAGAGAATAGATAATTATGTTTCTTGGTTCACACATTTTTAAATATTGTTCACACGAGAGTGTTCGATACATATGCAAAAAAGAATTTACGTTACTATTATCTCTACTCTTATCATGCAATAAATGAGGAGCGTAATAATGGCGTTACTATTTCACAAAAAAAGTAAAATATTAACACCGACGGTTTTCTAGAGTTGTAGTCTATAAGGCCTCCGACAATATTTCTACTTGTAGTTCCACTATTAGTGCTTCGAGCTTCTTTCGAATGGGGTTGAAGTGCCCTTAATGCTATTTTTACTATCTATAAAGTAAAGATTAGTAGCTTAAATTGGTTTAAATGCATAATAAAATATTGTCTAGGAAAATTTCACCTAATGCAACCAATTATCCTCAATGGAGAACGCATTGAATTAAGATCGATTGCTTTAGATTTATCTCAATTCAATCTTACAAGGAGACATGCCCTGCCCGCAAGGTCTTGTCATGTGATGGGTGTTATTATTGCTATCTTGTGTGCGAGGTCTCTTTATAACACAAGAAATTTATGAAGATTTGATATCACCTGTAGCATATTTAGTAGAAAAACTCGAGTGTCTCTTGTTTGGTGATCCAGTGATTGTCTAGGAGCGAGGTCTTGTCATACATAGAACAATTATCGTTTATCTCTTGTTTACCAATGCATGTTCGAGGTCTCGTCATGCATTCAATGGGGCAATTGATACAAATGATCATGCATGTGTGATGTCTTATCTTCCATATAGAATAAGGAGGTAAGCAAGCCAAGAGTGATAAATAACAAGAATGAACTTAACGTCGATATCTTATTATTAAGAAAAAGTATAGATACACATAGGATCCACCCCCTAAATTATATGCTTTGCTTAGCTCGACATCGAGAGGGAGTGTGCATACATGGCTGTTCTTATCTCGTGTGAAACTAAACTACAATAGAGTTTAGGATCATGGAATCTCTAGCAGTTCACCTCTTAATGGACATACTTTGACCAAATGTGATTATGAAAGGCTTTACGTTTGAACCAACCCCCTATTTTAACCTAGTCCCCAAAACCTAAAATCTAAGGTACGGTTATAGAATTTGATACATCGAGTTTTCCTTCCTATGTGGTTGGCTATTATTTAGGATATGCATGATTATTACTTTCCGATGTTTAAGTGATAATTTTAATATGAACCTTAAAATCTTATGATTTTAAACTACGATTCCGATTTTAACTCAATTTTTTATTTTACATAAAATCTCAATTTTGACTACATCAACTGTGGGTTCGCGTTTTGTTTCCATTCCTATCGGCTCATGCCTGACACGCTCCCCCCTCCCCCTGGTGAGTTCCTTTGCCTCCTTCTTGATGGTTTCCGCGTGTTTTGAGTGTTCACCGTTCTTAATCCATTGATCCCCTTATACAAGGAGAGGGAATGGTTCCAATTTTTTGAATTTCTGGCACAGCACTAAAGATGGTCTTAGAAGTGCAAAAAAAACTTGGTCCGAAATAATGGTAGGGGTGGGCAACGGAAAATGGGTATTTGGGTATACCCATACCCATCCAATTTTTTTAGGGTTACGGGACCCAAATACTTGTAATTTTTTTAACGGGATGGGACATAGGATCAAGAAGTTTTACTAGGTACAACATGTTACCCGTACTACCCACCCACCCAATTTATATGCGTCAAACTTTGCTAGTTGCACAATGCACCACATATTTTATTCCCGCTCTAGAACATTTTAGGTTCCGTTGCATATGCACCTGAACTTTTGTTTCCCAGCTTTGGAGTGTTCACCATTCTTCATCCATTGATCCCCTTATACAAGAAAAGATGGAGTTCTTTTGAATAGTATTGTAAGTTTTCTATGGGGGAAATAAGTAAGACGGTTTGCTTTTAGACTCTACATGCAAACATAGGAACGTGACTAGCCACGGCTATACCGCGAATTAATCTATGCTAGAGCTCAAGTTCTTAAACTCTAGCCGGGTGTAGTATAGGGCAAGTGTGTTTTAATTGTCAAACCCGGCCGGTTCATGTACCCCTACTTCAATCATTTAGTTGTTATCTAGTAAACGGTTTTGGGTTTAAAACTAAGAAAACTACAAAATAAACAAACAAGTAAAGTAAATCAAGGTTGTCCCAATGAGAGAAGAATTCACCCGGGTATTGCTACCCCTAGCTACACATCAAGATCAACCAAATCGAATGCAAATGTGTGTAGGTGTGTTCATACACTATAGGAGGGCACAACAAGTGAAGGAAACCTCACTTGCTCAATCAATCGGTTAAGGAAAATAATTAAGCTAGGAACCTTTGCTCTCTCAATCAATGGATTAAGGATTGCTACAATAAACTAGGAAGTCTAGCTCTCTTAACCTTTCGGCTAAGGTTTTCAACAACAATCTAGGAGTCCTAGCTCTCTTAACCAATAAAACTAAGGGTTGCAAGAACCAATCCCTCAAAACTTAATCTAGACGGCAAAGTAACACCCAAGTTAAAGTTCTAAATCGAATTTTGAGGTTTGCCCTAATTTTCCCTAGGTAAGTGACTCAATTGGCCAATGAATCCAGCTTATCAAAGCCTCCTAACAAAAAGGGGAATTCCCTCTACCTAGGTCAAATTGGCATAGTAATGAGAGATGAAGAACACAACCCAAACATCATGAAAATATCTCAAACTTTGCATTAAACACAAATCCACACACAAAGCAATCAATTAATACAATCCATCACATATTTCAAACTAGGGTTCACAACACCCAAGTGAATAGGTAGCCTATTCCATAGCTAGATAAGGGAAAACAAGAGAAAGGAGAGAAAGAACCATGAAGAGATGAAAATGTTCCTTCCTTGTTGCTTGAATCTCCCTTGAGAGGTAAGAATCTTCACTCCTCTAGTTTAAGACAAACCCAAATCTCCTTCTTCCTCATTTGAGTGGCACTTTCTCTCTCTATATAGGAAGAGGAAACCCTAATCTCTTTAGAAACCCCCCTTTATTCTGAAAACTAAAATGCTAGTAAAAGCTCTCCTTTCTCTCTCCCAACAACCTTTTATTTATAGAGCCCGATAGTCACTTTTCATGTTCAGAAGTCACGACCGTGACATTGGAGCCCTGACCGTGACATTGGACCAAAACGCAGGTCTCTAGTGTAGATTTGGGTCCACATCACGTCTTGGGGATGATTTTCACGGTCGTGAACACACCTAGGTCCAGTGAGGTGCAAAAACCTCATGTTTCCATCAGAATTCACGCCCAATGATCAATTGTCACGGTCTGGTGACTGTAACATTTGACCTCTGCCCTTGACCTTGAATTGTCATGACCTCTGATCAATTATCATGGTCTGGTGACCGTGACAATTGACCTCTGACCGTGACCTTGGACTATCCTTCACTTTTTTGGCGCTTTATCGAGTCCAATCATCCCGAAACTCGTCATCGACCTTCCCCCACATGCTAGGACCTGAGATGTATAAAAAATAACACAATAGCATATAATAGGTTGAGAGACGACGAAATGCATAGTCAAACTATCAAGAAATGAGGGGGGTAAAAAGTGTACAATTAGACTCAAATTAGAACACTTACCATGACAACCACCTGAGGCCCATAATAAGGTTTATCAAGACAGTCCTAAGTCCTAACAACATGGAGCCATCGAGCCCATAATTCTTAAAGCCGGAAGCAAATTTATAGTCCACTATACGTCATTTTTTTTTTCTGGCATTGTGTTCTCACAAAACTAGACGGTGATCGCCAGGATCAGAGTCGCTGCTAGATGAGTCTCTTAGTGGAGTGGAATTCTCTAAGACCAGTACAAAGGAACCGAAGAAAAAGCCCAAATAACGAAAACCCCTAAATTTATGGATTACCATTTACCAACGAGTACCCGTTATCCATCCCGTACAGATAATGTGTACCTGTTAACCCATACAGAATTTGTGACATGGAATGAAATTTTCTTTGCAAATGGCTGGTTACCCATTTCAAACCACCCCTAAATAATGGAGGAAAAAAACTTGACTGGGCGGAAATTGATTCACTAAGGCCCGGCCCGGCCCGGCCCAATCCATTGATCAGCTTTCAGCACCAGTCCGTACGTATAGTTAATTTTTAAATAATTTTTGTTGGACAACTTATGACTTAGGTGAGTTATTAATCCAATGAGAATGAGGATGAGAATATTTCTCGATCGTTCCATAAACATTCTTCCCCGCCCCCAAAACGGCGGCGTTTCCCTTTTCCCGTCCTCTAAGCGCCTCGTTTTGTCGTTCCCTCTTTCACCCGCTACACTCGGTGGCTGCTCAAAGAAACGAATCCACCTGAACATGGCCGCTCGGAGATTCTCGGTCACCTGCAACGGCTTCACTTTCGACGTCGATTATGACGCCGGTGACGGATTTCAGGTATCCTTCCTGATCCAGTCCCCAATCTTTCCATCCATCTGTCAAAATTCTCTCTCTCTCACTCTCAATTGTGGATGGTTCTTTTCCAAGGTTTTCAAGTTCCAGCTCTTTTCCCTCACCTCAATCCCTCCAGACCAGCAAAAGGTTCCTCTCTCTCCTCCTCATCCTCCGTATCGCCGTGCTTTTTGTGTGCGTTTATGTTCGATGTTGATGGCGGCGGGTGTGTGTAGATCATCGGAGAAGATGACGGCTCCGTTATATCGGATGATTCTGATCTCTTGTCCTCGTCCGGGAAGCTGAAATTGGTGTCGATCGACGACGAAAAACACGATGAGGAGAGCAGCGCGCGAGGAGAATCAGGCGATGATACCAGTTCTTTCCTCAAATCCGACGAGGAATTCGCGCGAATGCTTCAGGTCACAATCTGTTTGGGGGATTCTCCGACTTACAGTTTTTTTTTAATGCTCTGGGTTCCGTTTTCGGAGACTGATTAGGCGGAGGTATTTTTGTACCTCAGGCGGAGGAAGAGGCGTTAATGCTGCAGCATGTTGTAGCTACTGAACAGAGTGAGCAGTTTGAAGAGAGGCTGCGGCCATACGTCGATAAAGTCCTGCTGGTAAACCACTGATTCACGCTTTGTTTGAAGATTCTTATCTCAGAATGGAATAGACACAAAAAGGGAATATGTTTCCTTGTGGTTGTGCTGTGTTATATTCATCAATTAGCGACTCTAGAGAAGAAATGGAGGATGGAGCGTTCACGCCATTTCATTTTTCTTTGAACAACAATGACATGGGGATGGATGTTTTGAATGATGTGATGCTTTGCTTAGTAGTTGGCCAACTATTGATTATGCAGTATGAGGATCCAGTACGCCAAGAGGCAGCTCAGAAGACGGTTCCTGTCGATGAGCTTGAGGAGAAGGCATTGGTTTCTTTGGCCAAGGTAGGACCTTGTGAAAATCTGTGGGATCTATTGGCCCCTCTATTTTTGCCCTGTCCCTCTGCTACTTGAAGTAAAGTTGGCAGCTTTAAAATTTTCCCCGAGTGATTCTGGCTGGTCTGACACTGGTAGAAGAGTTCCCACTTGCTGTGACTGTGTTGTGGTTATTTAGAAACTAGTAATACATTATGCAGTCTGCATGTATTTATGATTCAGGGGAAACAACAATGTCGACCATGGTTGCATAAGCAGAGAGCTGCACGGAACTAGATGCTGAGAGGTTAAGGCTCATCGATGATTTAGGGGAGACAACCTTCTCACCAGCCTTCTACTAACAGACATTTTTTTTCTCTCGAAAGGATTGATCTGCATCTTTTCTTTTTGAAGGAAGATACTTTTGTAACTTGTGTTATAGCTGTCGTAGGACTTGTATCCTTCTATTAGTGAATGAATTTTTCTCTCTGTCCTAATCTTGATGTGAAGTTTTTCATTTACTATGGGTATTTTGGAGTAATGTTGAACTCTTCTTAGAAGAATCTTGGTCACCTTGCTATGCGGTAGCTTTTATGTTTAGGGCTTCTTCGTTAAGATCGTTTTGAGGTGAGAAATTTCAATGAATGACTAGAACTGCATAGTTTTTAGGAACGACAATACTAGTTGCATGCATCAATCATGTAAACTTAAATATTTAAAAGGTCCACAGTCTGCAACTTGGTAATCCAAACAGTAAATATATTTCAGGAAGGGAGGTTTAAGCCAACAAAGGCTGAGCTAGACCATGCTTTCCTACTCCAGCTGCTTTTCTGGTTCAAGCAGTCATTCAGGTGCCATTTTTACTTCTTTACAGTTGGTACATGATTCTTTAAGTTGTAGTAGGAGCTCCTAATGGTTAGTCAATAAGTTCTGCAATCTGAAATGGGATAATCAAGGAATTACTTCTCTGCCGTCATTTTAGGTTCCATATACAGTCCAAGAGTACATCAGAGAAGTTTGTGTGCTAGGGCACTAAGTATACTCTTGTCCTTAATTGTCATTTTTGGATTTTCATATAGGTGGGTTAACGCTCCTCCTTGTGACTTATGTGGCAATACTACTGTTAACCAAGGAATGGGTGCTCCTCTTCCCTCTGAAACAAAATATGGAGGGACTAGAGTTGAACTTTATCGGTAAGTTCATTTTATTTCTAACTGGTAGATCAACTGTATATCATCATTTTATGCACTGTCAGTCTTATGGCTCTCCTTGGGGCCTATCAAAATGATTGGATGTGGAAAGTAGTTTGAACACCACTTTCCCATCCCCAATCGATTACGCAACCAGTTGACTATTTTCTTCCCCTGTCTTCTGTCTAGCTGTGATTCTTGTTCAACCACCACTCGCTTTCCCCGCTACAATGACCCCTTAAAGGTAATTTTTGTTGCTGCTAAATCCCCTAAGGGTACTCCTAGTTCAGACTGAATTTGCTTCACAGTTCAATATCTTGAATTTGCGTGCTCTTACTTATATTCTTTTCCTTTATGAGCGTAGCTCTTGGAAACTCGAAGAGGTCGTTGTGGGGAGTGGGCCAACTGCTTTACACTTTACTGCCGTTCATTTGGCTATGAATCTCGTCTGGTTAGTGTGTTCTCTATATTGCAGACATACAAGAAGAGTGACTTCATCTAAAATTTCAGCTACTCCAACTTAAATTTACAGCTCAATTATGCAAACCAGCCAAATCATCTTGTTTCTCTTGTTTATCTTCGGTAAACAGTTCGTCTCGTTTCTTACACGACCTAATTGAACAAGCCTCAGTCAAATTAAGTTTCATTTGGCTTTTGGTCCTTTCGCGTTTTGGCTTTTGTAGATAATTACTCCTGACCATTTCCCTTATGCATCCAGATTCTTGATTTTACTGACCATGTCTGGACAGAGTGCTACTCCCGAGCTTTGGGAAGGTGACCTTTCATTAAGTAATAAATGGGCAACTCTTTGATTTATACCTACACAAACTAATGCTGTTCTGAACTAACAAAAAGACTTATTTCCCAGATGGATGCATCTCGACCCATGTGAAGCTGTTTACGATAAACCACTGCTATACGAAAAAGGGTACTCTTTTGATTCATCTTTCTATCTATAATCTTCACAAGAGTTCTTCTCTGAAATCCCATGTTTGTTCGTGTGCTGGCATGTGATATTCATGCTTTATAATACAGATGGGGTAAGAAGTTGAATTATGTAATTGCATTTTCAAACGATGGAGTTCGTGACGTGACTAAGCGTTACACTAGGAAGTGGCTGGAGGTTTTGTCCAGGCGGAACATCACCACCGAGCCGGTTGTATCTGCTGCCGTCACCAAACTGACAAATGAATGCCGACGGAACTTCACATCTTTAGCACTATCCGTCCTCCAAGATCGTGATAACAATGAGTCTGAGGAACTTGACAGAGATTTACTTTCTCAAGACGAAGACTATTCCTCTGTCTCATTACCTGGAAGACAAAGTGGGGACAAGGAATGGCGCCTTTCGAGATCAGAAACCGCGCCTGACTCTAACGACTCTCTAAGCACTTCTTCCTGTCCAACTCGCACGTGCATAGACAAGCACGTGACGAGGGTTCACAATGCAATTGCCCGTCTACTATCTCAATGTGTTGAGAATTCGGTTCCTCGGTACAGGGTCTCCGAGATATCAAATATATTCAGGAAGATGCTGGTGGATGCCAGGAATTCTCCGCATAAGGCGAGGAGAGTTGTCGTTAATCCATTTATCATGCTTTTGTTCCCATACTTTGACGAGTTGCTCCGTGCTCTGTCTCTGAAGTTCGAGATAGGTGGTTACGGTAGAGTGGAGGTGTGTCTAGCTGGAGAGCCTGTGTTTACATCATTGTCATTGCCCGTCGTTTTGGATGCACTGGAAGATCTTATTAACTCTCTGAACAAGATCGATAGTTTAGACGGAGATTCCCTTTCTTTTCCGCTTATAAAATCAAACCGGATTCATTCAGGAATGGTGGTTGCAAGTGGCGAAGAACTACCTTTTGGAATTGTGAGTAGCGATCTGTGCTCAGCTGACCTCTGTGTTGAGACTTTTCTCTATATTTACTTGATTTGCAAATGGATATGTTTGTTTCCCCCTTTTTGTTGGGTATATTTGCAGGCGACCTCGGCGTTTGATGGATTACGAGCTTCCAAATGGGAGGAACCAAACGGTTCAAAAGGTATAATGACCAATTTTCATGAATCCCCCAGCATGATCAGGGCACGATAGCATGATTTGGATACCATATAAACCTAGTCCATGCAGGTGGATGGATCTTGTACAGACTAAAAGACGGCATGGCATGTGAATTAGCGGCTTATGAGATAACGTCTGCCAACGATGCCCCGGAGAGGGATCCAATGGATTGGTATGATTTCCATAAAATTTCATCGTGGCCTCACCTTTTCTGGTCATTTATTTAACTTTCATGTTTGTCTTACCCTGCAAAACAGGGTTGTAGAAGGAAGCATTGATGGTGGATCCAACTGGCACATTTTGGACAAACGAGCTTCCCAGGTGTTCGAAGATCGATTTCAGTGTCGATCATTCGAAGTTCAGCGAAAAGGTCTTTCCTGCAATGTCTTCAGGTAAGAATTCGTTTTCTTCTTTCAGAGATTGTTCGAGCTGAGAGATTTTTAGCTCTTTTTGTTCAAGTGAATGGAACTTGATGTTAAGACTGGCACTGGCAGGTTCCGGTTTCTGGCAGTGAAAGATATTCAATCTACTTCCCGGCTGCAACTGTGTAGTATCAACCTGTATACACGGGGCCAGTTATCGCCTGAACTCTCTGATTTTGAAGTCATTGATTAGGGCAAAACCCCACACATGTTTCATATGTATTTCAAAATCTGTAGCATCGGCATTCATTTTTTTATGGCTAAATTGCAAGTTTGGTCACTGGAATTACTTAAAAATTTCACGTTTGTCACTAAAATTAATTTATTCCATCCGTAGTCACTTAAATTAGGTTAACAGTTCAAGTTTGGTCACTGGCCGTTAGTCTCCGTTAACTTTTGCTGATGTGGCGGTCAACTGTTATAGTTGACCGTTAAATGAGTGACGTGGCAATTAAAAAATTAATAAAATAGTTTAATTTAATAATTTTTATTTTCCACCTAATTATTATAAAAATAAAAAATCTAATTCCTTTTAATTATTATTTTCAACCGCCCGTGGCCGTTCCTCACCCCTCCGGTCGACGACCTCTCCCGGCCGGCAAAGCCCCGCGCCATCACCGTCTTGGGGTCATACTCAGGTGAAAAAGCGGAGAGCTTGACGCCGATCAAGAGAAAGCGGTTGTGATTGCGTGTCAGCTCGTTATTGGCTGCGTGGATGGGGACGTCGCACTCCCGACAGAGTATCGGCGTATCGCCCTGTCTTCCCGGCAGAACAGGAAGGCCCTTCTCTCCTGTTTCATGAAGCTGATTTTTCTTAGTAGAAGGATCTTACACGATTGGTAATTGATATTAGATAGTAATGAATTAGTGATGGCAACTTTTGATTTGACTCCGATCTGTTTGGATGGATGTTAGTTGTTGGTTGTTACCCTATTTGATTCGTAGTACGGTAGTAGTAGTGTGGGGCGGGATATACTAGTATTTTTTTCGATTTATCTTGTCCCACATGTTTTCATCCGTTCTATCGTAATTCGAATCAATATTTCTATGATTATATTTTACCTGGCAGATATCGCAGAGTGGAGAGTCTTTGGAGGAATGAGTAGTACTAGTAGGGTGGTGGAGGGAGAAGCGGAGGTGTTTGCCGGCAAGCTTGTTGGCGTGGTGAACTCGGCGGTCGCAGGTAAGGCACAAGGTAGCCTCGTCGGCGCTGCAGAAGATGCTGGCTTCGGCTTTCTCGCACACGTCGCACCGGATCTTCATTATTGAATTTCTCCTCCGCACCGGCAAAGCTCTCCGCTTTCTCTTCAGAATTGGAATTGAGGAGGCCCAAGACGGTGATGGCGCGGGGCTTGGCCGGCCGGGAGAGGTCGTCAACAGGAGGGGAGAGGAACGGCAACGGGCGGTTGAAAATAATAATTAAAAAGGAATTAGATTTGTTATTTTTATAATAATTAGGTGGAAAATAAAAAACTATTAAATTAAATTATTTTATTAATTTTTTAATTGCCACGTCACTCATTTAACGGTCAACTATAAGAGTTGACCGCCACATCAACAAAAGTTAACGGAGACTAACGGCCAGTGACCAAACTTGAACTGTTAACCTAATTTAAGTGACTACGGATGGAATAAATTAATTTTAGTGGCAAACGTGAAATTTTTAAGTAATTCCAGTGACCAAACTTGCAATTTAGCCATTTTTTTATTAGGTAAATGCTACCTATTAGTCTTCAAACATCAGGAACTTTGATGGGTGTTTTGGTCTGTACTTCATTATGCATGAACAACGATCTCTTATCGAATCAGTATTTGTTTGATCGAGTTGGGCCGCATATGTATAACCCGCTGCACTTGTGCTTCTTTATTCCTCTTCTTTTATGTTATAAAACAAAGAAAAGAAATGAGCTGGGTAATATGTGTTAGTAAGAAAACAATGGAAATCGAGGTTACCGAAATCTGACCCAGATTAGGTCGTTCTATTTAAGACGTTTGTGACATTGCCTATTTGTGCACAAAAGTATTACTTGCTGGTCATTCTAGAATTTACCAAATAATTAATGAAAAAATAAAAATCAAATTAGTGGAAAAGAAGTCAGTTGGTTGAGATCTGGGACAAGAATGCTCTTGAAACAACATTATTTGACTGGACAATGTATCGGAAAGTGGAGTGTGTAAAGAAAACACTAATAATAATAAAATAAAAAATGAAGGTGGTATCAGACAGTACGAAATTTTTTCCTAAAAAATATACCAAAAATTTGTAGATCACAAGGAACTCATTCCCTATATCACCGTGACCACGTTCCATATTTTAATCTCATCACTTAGATTTGAATCCACTCAAAATCAAAGAAATAAATTTGGTTTATGTACAAATTCATAGTCAAATTAAGGTTATATACCATATCCTAGATGCAATGTTTTAGCTGCCAGCCTGCTAGCCTAACTTGGTATCCAATTGTAACAAATAGAAATATAAGTGCTAAACTCAAGTTTTTGAAAAGTTGATGAATTCAATATAGTTAAATTTGAATTAAATGGATTAGATATTTGGACATATGTATTGACTGCTACAACCTAGAGGGCCAAGAGAAATACTATTTATTTTAACTAATTATTAGAATACCTAATGACCATGTAATCCAGTCCGGCGAGGCCGATTATTTGTTCTAGTTGGTCCTTCTAGCTTTGAACATTTGCAGCAACAGAGAAGGGCAAGGCCCCACAGAAATCAGAGAAACTCATGTCGTGGGTAACTAGTATGAATTTCTGGTGATGCTGTTTCACGGGAACGGGAACGAATCAGTTCAGTAACCTTATGGTGAGTAACTATGAGTAATCCGCCCACATCAGCATGACATCAGCATCCTCTCTCTCCTGGAAAGCCTTTAATTTTCCCCTCCTTAATCTTTGACGGACGATTTCTCACTCGTTTTAAGTCAATTTTTTTTTGCACAGTTAGATCATATTAATTGTGCTTTTCAAAATGATATCCACTTTGATATATATTTCGAACAACAAAAATTGAGCCATTTTATACCAGTCTATACCATATGGTATTGACTGGTATTCAAATAAGAGCATACCTATGGTTTGAAAAGCGTACCATGGTGGTATGACACAAACCAAAACTGTAGGATGGTTGAATACATGATAGTAGAAGTATATTAATTGTCATTTACAAATTTTAACATTGTATACCATAAGATACCATAAGATACCACCCCGTACTAGGGTGGTATTGTATGGTATTGTGTGGTATTTTTTTGTCTTGTAATTTGTTCACCCAGAAATTTGTAGATCCAATTGATTATGATTAACTCGTCCCTGCTGTGCAAACGTTTTAAAAAACGAATTAAAAACGAAGAAGATACCATATGGTATGCAGTTGGTACCGAGAGGCCAGAATTTTTTTTTCCTCAAAAAATATTGAAAATTGATCTCATTTTGTAGAGCACGATGAACTCGTTCCATCTGTGCAAAAAAAATTAAAATCCAAGTTAAAACAAAAAAGATATGAGTCAATTAAGAAAGCTAGTGAAAATAAAAATGGTCTTTAATTCTCCATCTTTAGATCTGGATTTTCTAAATGAATGGTCCAGATTTGGTTATTGATGGGTGCATAACCCATGGTTATGCACCCGAACTTGAGCCCTGTTTCACACACTGCAAGATTTTCTCCCGCTCGTCCACGCACCATTGGGGCGGGATCTCCTCTCCTCTGGGCAAATCCACGTCATCAAAGCCAATGAAAGCCACTCACAAGGGTTTGAAGTTTGCACAGGTTTGAAGACAAGAATACCATGTGCTTAACAAATGGGGGTCACCGGAAATCGAACACAAGACCTCTCGGTCATAGAAGGCTCTGATACAAGGTCAAGAACCAGTTTATCCCAATAACTCGAGTTGTTAGGAGAAGTTCAATCGTGGATCATATACCACAACACTAACGAGAAGAAGAGGAATCTTGGTCAGCGGCAATGGCATGGTGGAAGTAACTACTACTGGTAAACTAGCGGAGACTCCATCCATCCACTTGCCTAGAATTTTGTACTTTTAATCGATAGGAACCTTCCTATATGCTTACTTACCCTTAATGCTTTCTCTACCTTTTACCATGGCATGATATAGCCCATGTAATTTATGAGGAATCTTCCTAAAATATTGTTTTTCTTCAAAACTACACATAATTAATTTCTAGCATTATATCTAGATCGACCCAGTTCCTGTTCTTTTCCTGTGCACTCGCTTTATATCTCGGACACACAAGGATCGACATATTTTTCCGGGGAACCTGTAAATACTTCTGCTATAAAAAAGGGAAATTGAATAGCAACATGGGCAACTAACAACAATTTACAATGTACGACAACAACTAGCTAGATGGGGTTTGGTTCCCTCTAATTTTCTACAGAGTATTACTATATGTGCCTTTAATCGGGCGATTACCCGAACTAGAAAACCAAGAATCAACAGGCGCTCCCAAGATGCTCACTTTGTAATCTTTTCATCTATTCTCAAATACAAGACATGCATGCAGGCAATAAATTCTACCACCTTTATGGACGATATCATACAAACAAACAAATAACTTGAACTTCAAGAAATAGCACGACATCATAGGAATAGGTTATAATACCATTCCTAAACCCCAATTCCAACTCGAAATAATCACGAATGAATGTATATATTCATGTCGAGCGAGCGAAATGGACATACCTGCTGCCACAAAGTGAGTACAACACACACATGTTTTTATTGATAAATGATAATACAAACATACAAGAAGTCGAATTGAAATGCCATAATTAAGAAAATCACACATCGATTATTCGATTTACTTCGGTACACTAGACCAGCCGCAGTTTGGTCCCTAAAAGACAAGTGAAAAGAAAAACACAAAAAAACACAAGGTAGAAAAGAAACACAAACACAAAGGAAGACCCACGCCACGCCACGCATGCATAAAGAGTTAAAAAAAAAAAAAAAGACATGTCCCAATGGAAGTTAGTTACTAGAGAAACGACCAGGTGACCTTCAAATCCCCTTGTTCCCCAGAAGGCACCCCAAGCGCATCCCACACCGCCGGCGAAGCATCCACAACGTTGTTCGGGCACGGCGGCTGGTAATCGTGCTCCTCGTCGCACCCTTCCGTGGAATCGCACTCGTCCACCACCTTCGCCACCACGCTCCTCCCGTTCCCGGCCGTGATCTTGATCCGCTGGAGGCAGCTCTTCCTGTGGTCGAACCACCCGCTCGACAGCGCCACCACCCGCTCCCCGTCCCCGTGGAACTTGTTGTCGCACTCCGACGCCCCGCCCCCGTCCTGACCCTTCTCGAAGCTGTTGAGGGTCAGCACCGCCTTGGTCTGCTCCGTGATCGGCGGCGAGCACTCGTAGGTGGTGTACAGCTTCCCCTCCACGCAGCAGTCGGAGTTGTGGATCTGGTTGCACTTCTTTGCCGGAGGCTTCCTGCCTCGGAGCTTGCCGCTCGGCAAGCAAGTTTGAGGTTTCGCCTCCGCCTCGAGGTCGAGGAGGCAGCTGGCGGTAACGAGAGTGAATAGGAGAATGGAAATTGCGGCAGGACTCCTTCTCATTTTAACTTTCACTCTGGTTGGTTGGTTCTGTTTGGTGGGAGTAAGGCCTATTATATAAGAGTGGTAATTCGAGGGAAAATTTATCGTGTGCATCGGCGGGTAAATAGTTACAAACTCTTTTTTTTTTTTTTTTTTTTTTTTTGTGAATTTAGGGATGAATCTAGAATGTAGAGGAGATGGTATCCAAACAACGACAGGAGCATTAGACGGTGCAGTGGAATCATGCATATACGAGCTAGGCGGTAGAGGCATCGACTATGTAATATATATTCCTCCGTTTAGATTATTCCCTCTCGGAGTAACCGCTCGTGGCAATGAGCAGTTGGGATTTCTTGCACGTCCTGCTCGCAGTGAGGCAGGCCGCTAATCCAATCAGTGGACGGTAGTTTCACGCCGGTTTGGTATCATTATGTGCTTCCATTTTGTGGTGTCAACTAAGGCTCAAGATAGGGTGAGTAACAATGAGTAACTAAATTTGGACCCTTTTTTTGAAGTGACTGCAGATATAAGGGTGGAGAATTAAATGAATTTATTTTCCCTAGTTTTATTAATTGGATCATATCTTCTTCATTCTAACTCGGATTTCAATTTTTTTTTTTTTTTGCACAGATGGAACGAGTTCGTTGTGCTCTACAAAATGATATCCATTTTCAATATTTTTTGAGAAAAAAATTTTCATCGCTCTCCTTACCAACTCCATACCATATGGTATCTCCTTCGTTGTTTAGTCATTTTCGGAAATTTTTGCACAAAAGGAACGATTTAATCATCATCTCTTGGATTTCGAAATTTTCTGGGGGAAAAAATTTCAAACCTCTCGTTACCAACTCCATACCATACTATACCACCCTGGTATGAGGTGGTATTTTTCATACCATATGGTATGCTTTTATTTAATACCAGTCAATACCATATGGTATTGACTATACCATATGGTATAGACTGGTAATAACTGGCAAATTTTTTTGTTCCAAAAAATATCAAAGTGAATATCATTTTGAAGAGCACAATTAATCTGATCTAACTGTGCAAAAAAAATTAAATTCTGAGTTAAAATGAGTGAGAAATCGTCCGTTAAATATTAAGGGAAAGAAATTTAATGATTTTTCCAGGAGAGAGAAGGAGGCGCTGATGTGGCAGATTCTTATTGGGTTATGCATGAGGTTATTCACCACAAGGGTTACTCACTGGATCTGCTCCCATCAACTAAAACAATACATAAACTAAGGAGAGAAAATATGTTCACTATAGAATGTTTTAGCTGGGGGTGGGATACGGTCACATACCCTATGGGGTTGTGAGATTCACAACCAAAGGCATTTAGGGTATGACAAAAAAATTAATTTATTAATTAATTTTTTCTATTAATTACAAATTGGGAATTAAAAACCCATATTAAATACATATTTTTTTAAATTTAAATCCTACAATAAATATAACTCTTTGTTCCTATCTCTCTCTTCTTTTCTAGAAGACACACCACTCCGACCGGCTGACTTTCTTACCGACAAGCTTTCTCCGACGAAATTCTTGAATAATACTCGCTTCGGCCACCTGCAAAAAATTACTACTCCATCAATGTGCTAGTGGTACGCTACCGCTACCACTGGTACCACTACTAGTACAGCGGTACCAGTACCATCTAGTAGCTGGTAGCCTGGTAGGTGTAGAGTACCACTATCATTTGGTACCACTACCATCTAGTACCTGATAGTGGTAGCGTACCACTATCATTTGATACCATTACCTGGTAGTGGTAGTGTACCACTACCAGGTATCAAATGGTAGTGGTAGCGTACCACTACATCTAGTACCAATATCAGAAGAAGAGGAGATGAAGAGTATAGTGGCAGAGGGACTCACACCGAAAGAGGCAAGGAAAGGAGGCACGACAACGGCGGCGGGGAGTGAGGGAGGCGGAAGATTGCGGAGGCGGCGACGGTGGAGGGCTCAGCAGGGGGTGAAGGGAGGCAGAGGGTTGTTGGACGGTGACGATGGAGGGCGCGGCAGGGGTGGAGGGTGGCGAGGGCTGTGGAGGGCGGCAGCGACAATGAAGGCCGACGACGTTGGAGGGTGGCGGTGCCGTCTGTCTGCTAGAGAGGAGGAGGGAGAGAGGCAGGGTGGGAGGAGTTAGGTTTTATGTATTTATATGAGAGGAAGAGTGATTGGGTGTGGTAATATTTTTTCTTTCCCAAAATACCCTTATTTTAATCTTAACCATCAATTTAAAAAAAAAAAGAGACAGGAGACAGAGTGTATCCAATGGTTAGGAAGTAAGTTCTGAATCTCACAACCCCTATAGGGGATGTGACCGTATCCCAACCCGTTTTAGCTGTTGTTGTGGAAATGGGTTTCAGCACCACAGCTCAATCCAGAAAAAAGTCAACTTGTAGCTTCGGATGCGTTGAATATGAATTTTCTATCGGTTGGGGGATGATTTCATTAATCCCGCCCCCAGTTTGAGTCCTATCTCCTACAACAACAAAAAAATAATACTAAACTCACTTATCATTGTGTGTTTTTTTTCTATTGTCAACTAAAAGAATACAAAAATCGAGGAGAAATGAGATGTTCAATATAGTAGTTGTTGTTGTTGTGAAAATGGGCTTCAACAATACTGTCCAATCTACTGAACCGTAAATTTGTAGCTTCGAATACATTTAATGGGGGGTTTTGTATTATTTTTTAGACTGATTTCATTAAACTCGCAATCAATTCGAGTAGTATACTCCCCAATAGCAACAAAATGATACTAAATGAGGTTTTAGTCAAGTTTAACTCAAAAAGACTTTGATTCGAAATGAAATGAACCTAAATCAAACCAAAGTTGAACAAGGACAAATCTCAGAGTTTCACCCGAGCTCAGCTGGTCCTTTCATCAATTTGTCTTGGCCAACAACTAAACTAACCCTGCAAGTTATATCCCATAACAGAGCAACAAAAAAAGAGTATACACAAAGCTGGAAACTTCCGGACAGAATTGAAATCGCAGAACCGGAAAGACACGCAAACTTTACATGGTTTTAGTTTTGAAAGTAGAAATCTCAACACCGACTATTCATGGTTGAAAAAGCAAAATTTTGTGATTCTCAATGATCTACTTAGGACACTACTTGAAGCTCGTTGAGTACAGATTAACACCCAATTAATCTCCCAGACCATTCGAACATGTCCAACTACCCCTTTGATCAACTCCTCATTGATCAATAACCCATCATTTTACCAATACTAAAATCAAACTATCTCCCTGATGGCTTGATCCCTTTTCCTAGCAATTACCCACAACAAACACCCTTTGCTCTTTTTGAACTGTTGATTTCTCATAAAAGTTACTTCTCTTCTTGGCTTACACTAGAAAGTTAGTCGTGTTATAATGTATTTTGTGCATAAATGATTTATCGTTATGTATGTATGTGTTTAAATTACTTTGAATTAGTTCATACTGACCAGGGAATGGTCCTATTGTCATTACCAAAACATTTAGAAATTGGGTTAATTGCATGGTTGGTCACTGAGATTATAAAAAACGTTCAAGTTTGGTTACTAGAAATATTTAAATCCATTGGTGATACTTCAGTTTACTGAAATTGTTCATGTTTGGTCACTCTCCGTCCAACTCCGTTAAGTTTGGCTGACGTGGCCGTCAACTCTCAAAGTTGACTGTTAACTTAGTGACGTGGCAATTAAAAATAATAAATAAAATTTAATTTAATTTTTTTACAATTTCCAACTCATTTTCACAATAAAATAAAATAAAATAAATAAAATAGAAAATTATAATTAGAGATTTAATCCTTCTCCTGCTGGAGAATCGCTCCCGGAAGAGCACAAAATGATGGCCGCCGCTTCACTTTCTCTCCTCTTCCACTCCCATTCCCCGACCACCAGAGTTGTCATACCCAACAGGGGAGTGATCAATTTGCTTCCCTCCTTCTGGAATACACCGCCTGCCCCGTCCACATCATTCACCCTTGATCTGGTAACTTTGTTCTACCCTCCTTATCTTTCCTCCATTGAGGAGAATGTCGTGCTTAAGTGTGGGGGGATGTTCGATTATGTATGCGGGTGAATGTTTGGCTGTTTGTGTGCTTGGAGCCTAGTCCACTGTCCAAATTTTTAAATTTGAGGGCTCCAAGTACGTGTTTCCATGCAAATTGTCTGCTCAGTATGCTTTGAATTGACAGTCTCTATAGTAATGTGCAACCTAGGGAGGTAGTGTAGCACTATGGAGGATGTTGAAGTATAAGATTTTTCCTATCTAGCTCTCTGCTGTGCCAGTTGATTTTGTGAATTAGTGGAGCTAAGACCGTTGAATTCATGTGGTAATGGTGAATCTGTTTGGATGGTGTTGTGGACTCGTGTATCGAACAGGGTGCTCATGTGGAAAATGGAAAGCAGTTGGTCCTCCATGTCGAAATCATCAAAATCCTAAACATGGGGTAAGCCCAACGTGTGTGGCACCGTTTATTGCACAAAATCGGGTTTTGGAGGAGATTTTAGTGATCCTTAGTGGGGTACTCCTACAAGGTGAAGCTAAGCTGTCTCTAGTACAAGTAAAACTTCCACCCGTTGAACGGTTTGCCTACTCGAGGATGTGTTTTTAAGGGCACGGATAGTACAAGTAAAAGAAGTACCTTGGCGAGCGCCAGGTGTACAGAAATTGCTCTTGTTCGACTAATAAGGGTCGACCGTGCGAAAGACTGCAGTTGGAACTCCCGCCAAGTGAATGAAAAAAAAAAGAGAAAAAGAAATAAAATGAAAGTGAAAAGGGGGTTCCAACGGTGAAATGAAGTGAAAGAGAACCCCGGTACAACGAGTCTTTGGTTGTGAATTGTATGAGTCCCTTTATCCATGAACTGACTGTCTTACTTCCACTGCTTCTCATGATCATGGCTTGAGTCTAGTACTCGCATTGAGAGAGATAGGGAACGTCTTAGAAGACCAGTTGACCTCGTAAGCTGCTATATGATCTAGAAAATCCTCTACCGACGATCGGGGTT